TTTTGTTTTTTGGTTTTTCGAGACAGGGTTTCTCTGTGTTGTTTTGGTGCCTGTCTTGGATCTTGCTCTGTAGACCAGGCTGGCCTCAAACTCACAGAGATCCGCCTGGCTCTGCCTCCCAAGTGCTGGGATTAAAGGCGTGCGCCACCACCATCTGGCCTTTAAATAGGTTTTTCTTTTGTTTTGTTTTGTTTTAAGATTTATTTATTTATCACGTATACATTGTTCTGTCTGCATGTATACCTGCAGGCCAGAAGAGGGCACCCGATCTCATTACAGATGGTTGTGAGCCACCATGTGGTTGCTGGGAATTGAATTCAGGACCTCTGGAAGAGCAGCCAGTGCTCTTAGCCACTGAGCCATCTCTCCAGCCCTAAATGGGTTTTTAAAACTACTTATTTTTTATTTTCTGTGTATGGGTGTTTTGTGTACACGTTTGTGTACATATGCATGCCTGGTACCTGTGGAAGCCAGAAGAGGGTGTTAGAACCCCTGGAACTGGGCCTACAGATGACTGACAGTTGTAAGCCACCATGTAGGTGCTGGGATTGGGACCCAGGTCTTCTGGATGAGCAGCCATTGCTCTTAATAAATGCTCCATCCCCAAGATAGGTTTTAAGAAGCTGAACCAGGTGTGGTGGCACACAACTTTAATCCCAGCACTCGGGAAGCAGAGGCAGGCAGAGGTCTGTGAGTTTGAGGCCAGCCTGGTATATACTGAGTTCCAGGTCAGCCAGGGTTAATAGTGAGAAACTGTCTTAAAAAAACAAAAAGCAAAGAAGTAGCTAAGGTGTAAGATACAGTGAAGGTGTGAGAGGATGGAGTCTACCTTCTGAGGTCTGACATATTTATTAAAGTGGAAGTGGAGTTAAAAATACCCCACTATTTAAGGTATTTTGTTTATCGTTTGCTTGTTTGGGTCATGCTCTGCCCATTGCATTGGGAATTGAACGCAGGGGCTTGTACAGATAAGAAAGTTCCTACCTCTGAGCCACATTTCCAACCCTAAACTTTTAATAGAAAACTTGTTTTATCACCTGATTCAAGCAATAGTTTGTTTTATGGTTATTTCACATGGGAATATTAATGACTTCACTGATTTATTTCATCAAATCATAATGGAAAGGGCATAATGACTTTTTTTTCTCATCTTAAAAGATTGTAGCCGGGTGATGGTGGTGCACGCCTTTAATCCCAGCACTCGGGAGGCAGAGACAGGCGGATCTCTGTGAGTTTGAGGTCAGCCTGGACTACAGAGCGAGATCCAGGAAAGGTGCAAAGCTACACAGAGAAACCCTGTCTCAGAAAAACAAACAAACAAACAAACAAAAGATTGTAATCAGTCTTATCATGATGGGTCTTCGTTATAGACTTCCTTTTTTGCAAAAGATGGTATGCATTACCTTCCTAATATTTTAAAACTACACGAAACTGTTGATAACACCTCCAGAAAATTGTGAACATGAATAAAATTATGCAATTTTTAGCTTGCTAACTGAATAACACTTTAGTTCTCTAAAACGTTCCTAGAGACTATAAGTAGTTCATTTATTTTTAATTGCTAATTTAATTTCTGCAGTAACAATTTTATTTAGGAAATGATTTCATAGGAGAAAGTAATAGGCAGCAAGAAGGAAAAAAATCAACTATATAGTAATCTTTAAGATTCCATTAGATTCAGAGAGGGCCTGGAGTTAGGAGTACTGGCTGCTCTTCCAGAGGACCTGAGTTCAAATTCCAGGACTCAAAGCTTACAACTGTCTGTAACTCCAGTCCCCAAGGATTCATCCCTGTCTGGATTCCTTGGGCATCAGGTACACACTTGGTACACAGACATTCATGTAAGTAAAATGCCCATACACACAAAAAACAAAAAGATTTCATTAGTTACCGGGTTTATAATACTACTTAGTATTTTTTGTCCCAGGGAATAAACTCAGCAGTGTTTAGTGTAGACCTCAAATTTCCATGATGAATTCCATATTCTCCAGAGTATCTAGGACAATGACTCCCAACATGTGGGGCATGACCTTTTTGGGGTCACATATTAGATAGCCTGCATACCAGATATTTATATAACAATTCATAACAGTAGCAAAATTACAGACATGAAGTAGCAACAAACTAATTTTACGGCTGGGGGTCACCACAACATGAGGAACTGTATTGAAGGGTCACCGCATTCGGAAGGTTGAGATCCACTGCCCTAGGCCATTTGAGTGTTCTGACAGTGATGATGACCGTGGGGTGGGATCGTGGACAGTGATGCCCAGTTCCACTGCTTACCAGCCAGGCAGCCTTTCTGAGTTCCAGTTCCTTTAACTAATTAAGGGTTAATAATGTGATAGCAGCTGACACCTGCTCCACAGGCCCTTAGCCTACTGCAGCTGTAGGAGACAGCTCCTGGATGTAGATATTTACCGGGTTGTAATAAGGGCAGGAGGGGTGGAAGGAAGAAGAAAGAAGGAACTGGGACCCGCCTCATATTGACCATGGAACAATGAGATACATTTTAGTGTCCTCACGCCATGGACCGCTTGCCTCCACAAATACACTCTGTGCAGAGCAATGGTTGATACCCTGCACGCACAAAAATTTCTGTTGCTCAAGAAAGAAGTAAAACGGTTTTGAAAAACAAAACAAAATGCTGAAAATAGATTTTAGCAGGGTGGTGGTGGTAGTGGGCACGCCTTTAATCCCAGCACTTGGGAGGCAGAGGCAGGAGGATCTCTGTGAGTTTGAGGCCAGCTTCGTCTACAGAGGGAGTTCCAGGGCAGGCTCCAAAGCTACACAGAGAAACCCTGTCTTGAAAAACAGAAACGAAAAGAAAAGAAAACAAAAGAAAAGAAAAGAAAAGAAAGAGGTAAAATACTCCCTCAGAGATAGGTAAATGATATAAACATGAAATTTACAAAGAAAATATGGGGCTGGGGAGATGGCTCAGTAGAAAATGCATTTGCTATACAAGTGTGAGGACCAGTGTTTGAATCCCCAGAATCCACTTAAAAGTAGACACGTATAGAGGCCATTGTAATCCCAGTACTTGAGAGTCAGAGACACCAAATGTCAAAAGCAAGCCGGCCATTAGACTAGCTGGAACTGGCGAGCTCTGGATTCAGCGAGAGACCCTCTTCAACATCACAGTGGAGAGCAATCAAGGAAACCAACCAACCAACCACCTTAAACCTTGTCTGTTTGTCTGTGAGCCTAGCCTGTAATGGCCGAGCCATCTCTCCAGCCCAATCTCAAACCTTCAAAATGGAAATCTTTTTTTTGTCTGTAAAATGACAATGATTAAAAATAAATAAATAAAGCCGGGCGGTGGTGGTGCACGCCTTTAATCCCAGCACTCGGGAGGCAGAGGCAGGCGGATCTTTGTGAGTT